TGGGTTCTAAATGTAGAACCACATTAGAAACTCTAATGAAACTTGTAAGTTTTTCATTGCTTCGATTGATTTTTAGATATCAAAATTTAATTCAATAATGGAACAATATAAAATAATGTTATTATATAGATTAGAATTCCTATGGAAATACTCCACCATTCAGGATGTTCTAATGGACAATCTCAGTACAGATAGAAAACGCTAATCTCTTCGTCTTCAAATTCAAACCCATCTTTATCAAAGATCTCATGAAAGTGTTCTTTAAGCGTATGAACTTCATTGGCAAAAGTGTGCCTTCCACAATACATATAGAACCAAATTAAGGATATGTACTGATTTATGATACTTTTCGTATTTCTCGCTTAATCATGATTCGACGTACATCTTTTTAGGTTATGTTGTTTCACGACTACCGGATGTTACTAGTTAATCAGAATCCTAAAAACTCAACAAAAAAAATATGTTTCAGCATACGGTTTATCATGCATGTAAACAATTTTAATAGTATAAAAAAAAAAGGGATTGGACCATCCCAGATTCCAAAATAGCTTTCGGTATAAGTGATAACTGTAATATGATAATGTCTATTAGTAAGATTATTTGAGTGGTAGCCCATTCCCACGCGATACCAACCGCACATTTTCATGTTTTTTTATCATCCTCACTTCTTGGTCGGATGACCCATGCAACATTATAATGCTTCCGTGGTTCAAGAAATAAAAAAATGTCATATACTTATAACAGTTTTATTAAATGATAATATAATTTAATAAATAAAGATTACGTCTACTTGTGTTGTGCCTTGTGAGTATTTCTAACACGAAAATAAATATGGATGCACGACTAGTATTGTTATCTAATTAACAAAACTCATTTCTTTGTTAACTAAAATGAATACTTTTGTCACATCAAAGAGCATACTTTTTTAAAAAAACCGGTTCTTATAACACGGGTTTTGACGTACAAGAAAGTTCAATATCCTATTAGTAGTATGAGATTAATCAACCCAAACAAAATCACGAGAGAAAAGAAAGTATATCTTACTGCTTCAATGACATAGAGACTATATAATCCATGAGTTAAATCCGTCGCACAATGGGCACAATATTTCTTACGTTATAACAACATAAACGATTGCCCAAATCATAGTATTTTATAATATGGCCATGGTGTGGACAATAGAGTCACTTCAGTATTGTTAATAGCAATGATCGTATAACTAGTATGCCACATCATATGTTCAATACTTCAATTTAGGACGTCTTTTACTTAACAAATTTTGTTTCTGAAAAAAATGTATAATTAGTACTAAAATGAAATATACGAAAAAACAGAGAGCAAAAAAGTTGAGCAAACTAGAAGATACACAATAATCC